ATGTTGTCATTGTAATAAAGCATATCAGAAAGGTATAATTTTCAAAAAGTTTAGAGACTATTTCTTTAAAAATTGCTGAAAAATTGGAAATCAAATATTCACAGACATAGATATAGAAATTAAATGTAAAGATAATGTCTTCAAGGAAAAGTAGCATTTCCATGTGAAGTTTCAAACTACTTCAACAAACCATTAACACAGAAGATAATTAAAAATTATTTTTTATAATTAAAGAGACAGTCCTGAGATGCATAAACAAGCATTCTGAATTATTATTACAAATAATTAAGCCACTTTATAGTTTCTTATAAATCCTCCACAATTATAGAAAATGTCAGAGAAAACATTATAATGCCACTGTATAAATTTACATTTAAAATTAATTCTGACTTACATGAAGCTGATTGGTCTGAAGAGTTAAATATTTAAAAAAATGTATTTTATTGATTTTTTACAGAGAGGAAGTGAGAGTGATAGAGAGTTAGAAACATCGATGAGAAGAACATCAATCAGCTGCCTCCTGCACAACCCTACTGGGGGTGTGCCCTCAACCAAGGTACATGCCCTAGACTGGAATTGAACCTGGGACCCTTCAGTCCGCAGGCTGATGCTCTATCCACTGAGCCAAACCAGTTAGGGCAAGAGGTAAATATTTTATAGAAAAACTGGCCAACTAGAGACATCAGCTGTAGATTTACTAGAATTTATATTTAAAATTCACTTAGCAGACATTTATGCTAATGTTGAAAAGCATAGAAAATATTCCTAAAATCTCTAGTATCGTTTGCATCAACAGAAATATTCTTCTCAAAATTAAAAACCATCAAACATTTTGTTTGCAATCTTGCATTTGGCAACTGCAATTGATATTTCATTCAATTATATTGATTGAAATGTGTTACTAAAAGTGTAAATTTTAATAGCTTACTAAATTAATTTGCAGAATAGCAAGCTAGGGACTGCCCCCCCCCCAAAAAAAAGCCTTTTGGGGGTGTGTCTGAATTCTTTAACAAATAAACAAAAAGTATAGCAAGCCAGAAAAGTCTTATATTGAAAGATATCACATTAATAAAGTATTCTTAGTTATTGTACTACTTACAATTATAATCCCCATTTTTTTGCAACGTAAATTTATGTTGTTTTATATCATGCTCTCCAATTGGAGAGCATTATGCTAAGTGAAATAAGCAAGTCAGAGAAAGATAAATATCCCATGATCTCACACATTTATGGAATATAACGAACAACAAATTGATGAACAAAAACACATTAAGAGACAGAGAAACATTTATCAGATCATAAAACTTCAGAGAGAAGGTAGAGGAGGGTGGAGATAAGGGGGAGAGATCAACCAAAGGACTTGTATGCATTCATATAAGCCTAACCAATGGACACAGACACCAGGGGGGTGAGGGCATGAGTGGGGAAAATGGTCATTGCATTTAGAATATACCATCCTTTTGACATCCAAAAATAAAAACACCTGTAGAATAAATTTACACATAGATACATTTTCTGAATCTGCAGCCTGATGTTTTCTGAGAATTTGTATTCTCTATCTCTATACGTTATATAACCCACATGGCAAGGAATAGGTTTCTTGAAGCTTGTCAGATTTCCCATTGCAAATCAAACCAATCTATGGCTCAAACTGTTTCCCAACTCATGGGACTTCCACCACCTGCTCCTTTATCACTGAATTCCCATCCTCTACCTCTTATAGCAGTTATCTTATTGCAACATTTTAACTGTTGGTGCTTTCAGTATTTTTGGTATAGCAAGATCATGGGCAAGACCAGCTCAGAGAAGCTGAGTCTGAGATAATAGCTATTTGAAATCTTCAATGATTTTTCTCTCTCTTATTCTGATCTTTGACTTACATGTTAATTTTAGAAAGAGGTTTTTTTTTTTCTCCACAACAGACAAATGAGAATGGTATATTTAGCTGAAAAGGTAGGTTTCATATTTTCTTTGTTTCAGAGAGTGATTATGTCACTTTCCTAATTTCAAATATGTAAACCCAGGTGTGGGAACCACGCCAGAGATGCCTGATAGTGAAGGCCAATTAAAGCATAGAAGCTTTGTTGTCAAACCACCTAATGTCCAAGGCCACTCTATGCTTCGACTAAGATGCCATAAGCAGGTGCAAGGCCACAGCAATCTCATGGTATGCTGGGCCTTCCCATACCCAAAATAATTGATGTCATTGTTGGCACAAAAATTCTTTTGTGTAAGTAATATTAAAAGTATGTTACTAAGACTAGAGAGAGTTCAGACGGAGCTGAAAGCTGGCACTGCTACAATGTAAAACTAAGAGCTCATAGAGAGCTCATATATAGCTACCATGTTAACCAGCTAGAGTGTGCTGGACAGGAGAGAGAGGAGAAGCTGCTGAGCCCAGAGAGCTCAGATACCACTCTGATGTAAGGCAGTGAGTTTAGAGAGGCAGCATGGGACTGCTCAGATAACAGCTGTAGGTACAGAGGCTATTAAGGGTGCTACTGCTTTGTGGGAAAGATGTCTTTTTGATCAACCAGTGTATGGCTGCAGGTATAGGATTCTTATAAAAGGACTGTTTGTTTGGTGACTTATGGCCGCTGGCTTCTGCAAGAAAGACTCATCTGTATACACCCACAACCTCTTATGGCTTCTCTGTCTAAGACCTAGTGTTCAAGAAGTGTAGCCCAGGCAGAGGGGCATGAACTCAGCACCTGTACCTAGTGAGCAGAGGATAAAGGAGGGACTGGACTAAGTTCCCAACAGTTAGTACAGTGAGTGGGGTTTGAGAAGGAATCTTCCCTGGCGTAGTATGGAAGAATTTAGAAGAATTTATGGACTCAGAGCAATGCAGAGCACCAAAGCTCTGGCTGTTTCTGGCACCAGGCCATCTATACTAATAAAAGGGTAATATGCTAATTAGACCGGGTGAACCAGACATCTTCTGGACATCCAACTTCCTTCCAGACAAAGCCATGGTGATGGGGCCAAGGCAGAGGCAGTTAGTGGTGATCAGGTCAGCAGGGGAGCATGCACAGGCTGGCAAGGGGGAGCAAGCAGTTAGGGGTGAGATCAGTTCAACATAGGTGAACAAGCAGTTAGGGGCAATCAGACCAGCAGGGGAGAGCAGTTAGCAGTTAAGGGGTGATCAGGCCAGCTGGGGAGGGCATTGGGGGCAATCAGGTGAGCAAGGGAGCTGTTAGGGGGAGACCAGGCAGGCAGAGGTGGTTAGGGGTGATCAGGCAAGCAAGCAGGCAAGCAATTAGGAGCCAGCAGTCTCAGATTGTGAGAGGCCTGTCCAGCTGCTTGTTTAGGCAGGAAATGGGCCTAAACTGGCAGTCAGACATCCCCTGAGGGGGTCCCAATTTGGAGAGGGTGCAGGCCGGGCTGAGGGACACCCCCTTCCCCAAGCACGAATTTTGTGCACTGGGCCTCTAATCTATACTAATAAAAGAGAAATATGTAAATTGACCGTCACTTCATGATGCCCACAGCCCACCAGGAGTGAGTATGCAAATTAACCTGACAAAGATGGCTACGGCCCTGCCCCTCGGCCTTTCTAGGCCTCTGGGCAGCGTGCCTCCTCAGGGCCTCCCTGCCAACTCCACACCTGTCAACCATCCTTGCAGCCTCCCTGTGGCCCAGCCCCCAGCCTCAGAGGCAACCCTCTGGTGCCTGAGGTCGTAGCTTCTGGTATCTGGCATCTCCCTCTATCCCAACGCTGCCCTGCTGCTCTGGTAAACAAAACTCTAGTGTTGGAGCAGCCCCGTGGGATGCATGTGGGAGCTCTCTTGGTGCCCAGTTAGTGCACCATGGGAGCCCTGGGCCAGCCAAGGGGTGATGGTGGTGGCCAGGGTGGGCTCAGCTTTGTTTTGACTAAATGAAAGAGACCACCTACACAGTAACCCAAATTATCAAATCTCCCTCCTTTCCTATCTCAACAAATCAAGAGGGGAGGAGCAATGGGCATGGAGGGAGGGTGGGCAGGCAGGGTGCAGAGGGCGGAGGAGGAAGAGGATGAGGAAGGGGCCAGTTGCATCCCACTTCCACAATGGGAGAGTGAAATGCACTAGCGCACCCAACCTCTCCAGTCCTCCCCGCCTGCCTCGCTCTCCTCACCTCTTCCCCTCCGTGCCTTTCCTGAAGTGCCAGTGCTGCACAGAGCAACTCTCTGGAGAAAGAGGACAAGGAGGAAGTGGCTCCAGAGCACACAGGGCTTGCCACTATCGCTGCCACTGCACAGGCTGCTGGAGCGAGCCAGCCGTGTGCTGGCAGCCAGGGGAAGGAAGGCCTATTCTTGCATGAATCCTTGTGCATCAGGCTTCTAGTTTTATATAATAAAAGGCCAATATGCAAATTTCTGGGACAACAGAACAACCGGTTGCTATGACCACCAGGGGGGCAGACACTCAACACAGGAGTTGCCCCCTGGTGGTCAGTGCACTCCCCTTGTGCTCCAGCTAGAAGTCAGGATCACAGCTGGCAAGTGCAGCGGCAGGGCAGGAGCCTCTCCCACCTCCATGGCAGTTGGACATCCTCCGAGGGCTTCTGGACTACAATAGGGCGCAGTCTGGGCTGAGGGATCTCCCCAAATGCACGAATTTTGTGCACCGGGCCTCTAGTTGTTGAATAAATACCAGCAGCATTTACCACTTTCCAACTTAACAATGACTCAGTAGTGTGCAGGGATGTAAGTCTTTTCTTTTTCAGAGATGTAAATCTTGATGTCTACATTCTCACTGTGCATGCAGTCTCTGACTAAGGCCTGATTTGTTTGACCTATTACTGCTTTCATATGACTGAGTTCATTATAGGCACAAGGTAAGAGCAATACATTTAACCAGTGAGTTCTGTAGTTAGAGATGTGACCACAAGATGACAGTGCACCTCTGCTGATGCTGAATATGTTCATTTCAGAGGATTCTGAATAGGCTATGGCAGAAGCAGAGCCTTTTTCTTATTGGCTGGGTAGACAATGTGAGAAACCATTATGAGTGTTAGAGGAAAAGAAGGGGCAGCCTGATAACAGAAGCAGTTCTGTTGACTGGAGATTGCAAGTCTATAATTGGTCTTAATTAGGAGGAACAATGAAGTCACCCATTGGAGCTTTATTTATGTTCTTGTGGCTGCAGCTGAACTGTGAGTTGAGGGATTTGGGGATAGTATATTAGTAAACATTTCTTTGAAGCCAAGGAATAAATGGGCTTTATGCAGGGTTCCTCTAGTTACTACAGAAAAGGAAAAGGAAATTCTGGATTGTAATTATCAGGAAAAACTTCCCTTTTCCCTGACTCTCTCTTTCTGCATAGGGGTCAGCCATGGAGAGAAAGTGGACCAGCATCCTTCCACCCTGAGTGTCCAGGAGGGAAACACCGCTATTATCAACTGTACTTATTCAGACAGTGCCTCAGCTTACTTTCCTTGGTATAAACAAGAACCTGGAAGAGGTCCCCAGCTCATTATAGACATTCGTTCAAATAAGGACACAAACCCAGTTGGAAGACTCACTGCTTTCTTGAATAAATCGGCCAAACAACTCTCCCTGCGCATCGCAGACACCCAACTTGGAGACTCAGCCGTCTACTTCTGTGCAGCGAGTGCACATTGCTTTCCAGGCACCTGCATCCTGTACACAAACCTGCGAGTGGGGCAGCCCCCTCTGCCTGTGACAGACCTTCAGGCACAGCATTTGTGAAATTGTCTGCAAGTGGAAACTAATGTGTTGCATGTTAAAAACACATAATAAGAAGGTTAGTTTCAAGATGACCCAGAAAGTGTGAAAACATTTTGTTGGAGGACCATTCCTTAATGGATTTTCATTTTGGAATGTAAAGCTCTTTTATTTTATTTATTTAAAAATATATATTCTTATTGATTTCAGAGAGGAAGGGAGAGGGAGAGATAGGAACATCAATGATGAGAGGGACTCATTGGTGGGCTGCCTCCTGAAAGCCCCCCACAGGGACTGAGCCTGTAACCCAGGCACGTGCCTGTCCAGAAATCGAACTGTGACCTACTGAATCATAGGTTGATGTTCAACCATTAAGCCACACCAGGCTATTTTATTTAAAAATATTTTTGGTTAATCCTCCCTTTAGGGTAGTTTAGTTTTTCCATTGTTTTTTTTTTTTTTAAATTCTAAACTTTTTTATTTCAAGAAAAACGATTTCAAATATAATAATGTCACATGCAATAAACATTAATATCTCCAAAAATGATTTTAAATATAATGTTACATCAATAAACACCAATTATTTATGAAAAACTATCTTAAATATAACAATATTACATATAATGAACATTAATATTTCAAGAAAAAAGGATTTTAAGTATAATAATATTACCAAAACTATACTAACATACTAGTAGTCTGATATCACAAAAATTGTAGGAAATATTAAAACCTGCTAGATAACAGGATTACTTCTATATATTTTATTTTATTTCATTTTTTATTTTATTAAAAAAATATATATTTTATTGATTTTTTACAGAGAGGAAGGAAGAGAGATAGAGAGCCAGAAATGTCAATGAGAGAGAAACATCGACCAGCTGCCTCTTGCACACCCCCCACTGGGGATGTGCCCGCAACCAAGGTACATGCCCTTGACCGGAATCGAACCCGGGACCTTTCAGTCTGCAGACCGACGCTCTACCACTGAGCCAAACCAGCTTCGGCTTATTTTCTTTTCTTTAAAATAAATTTTTATTGTTCATATTATTACAAATGTTCCTTCCCCCCACACCTCCATTGCTCTCCTCCACCAGGTTCCCACCCCACCCTCTGCCCACTCCCCACCCCCCATTGTCCTCATCCATAGGTGCACAGTTTATGTTCAGTCTCTTTCCACATCCCCCTCTCCCCTTTTCCCCATGACTCGTCAGTTCACTCCCCTTCCATACCTCTGATTTTATTATATTCAACAGTTAATATTGTTCATCAGATTTTTTAAAAAAATTTCCTTGGTTTTTAGATTCACTTGTTGATAGTTACATATTTGTTGTTCTTAATTTTTATCTTTATTTACTTTCTCTTCTGAAAGAACCCCATTCAGCAATTCATATAATTCTGGTTTGGTGTTGATGAACTCCTTTAGCTTTTTTTTTAATTAGTGAAGCTCTTTATCTGACCTTCGATTCTGAGTGATAGCTTTGCTGGATAGATTATCTGTGGCTGTAGGTTCTTGCTATTCATTACCTTGAATATTTCTTGCCATTCCCGTCTGGCCTGCATGGTTTCTGTTGAGAAATCAGCTGACAATCGTATAGGTGCTCCTTTATAGGTAACTACCTGCTTTGCTCTTGCTGTTTTTAATATTCTCTCTTTGTCTTTTGCTCTTGGGATTTTAATTATGATGTGTCTTGGTGTGGTCCTCTTTGGATTCCTTTTGTTTGGAGTTCTGTGCGCTTCCTGGACTTGTAAGTCTAACTCTTTCACCAGGTGGGGGAAGTTTTCTGTCACTATTTCTTTCAGTATGTTTTTGATATCTTGCTCTCTCTCATCTTCTGGGACCCCCATAATTCTGACGTTGGTTCGCTTGAAGTCGTCCCAGAGGTTTCTTACATTATCTTCAATTTTCTGGATTCTCTTGCCTTCTATCTTCTGCAGAAGAGTGTCTTCTGGCTCTTTATATTCCCAATCTTTTACTTGATTCTTGCGATCTTCCATTCTGTTTTTAAGACTCTGTATAATATATATATATTTTTTTTAAAAAAATATATTTTATTGATTTTTTACAGAGAGGAAGGGAGAGAGATAGAGAGCTAGAAACGTCGATGAGAGAGAAACATCGACCAGCTGCCTCCTGCACACCCCCTACTGGGAATGTGCCCACAACCAACATACATGCCCCTGACTGGAATTGAACCTGGGACCCTTCAGTCCGCAGACCAATGCTCTACCACTGAGCCAAACCGGTTTTGGCTCAGTATAATATTTTTTATTTCAGACAATGTATTCTTTATTTCTTGTTGATTCCTTATTAATTCTAGTTGATCCCTTTTCATATCCTCATAGGTCTTATTGATCTTTTCTAGGAAATTCTTGAAAAACCTTATAAGCATAGATTTGAACTCTATATCCAGTCGCTTTTTGTCCTCCATTTCTTTCGTTTGAGATCTATTTCGTCTCGGCATTTTTGCAGTTTCCCATGGGGCAGGGTTTCAGGGTGGAGCCTATAGCTTTGGCTTCCGTCAGCACCGCCCTACGTGGCTCCTGCGTCACAGGGTCCTTCAGTACTCGCTGCAGGGGCCTCTGAGAGAAAGGTGCCCTCGATTTTCGCCTGCTACCAGTCTAGGCTCTCCCCCAATGAGCCCGGTATTGGGGTTCAGTTCAGTTGGAAGTGGAGTTGGAGGTGGCGTTCAGAGCAGTCTGGAGCCCCTGTCTCCTTCCCGCTAGGGCAATCCCACGGCACAGCCAACCGTCCCTTCTCTGTGCACAATGTGCGCGCCGCCAGGACCTCCTTTCCCCGCTCCCCCAGGTTCCGCCTTACAGCCCAGCTCCCTCTGTTTGAGCCTGGGTCCCCGGAGTCTCGACTAGAACTGGGGTTCAGAGCAGTAGGAACTGGGGCCCAGCACAGTCGGAGCTTTTATCTCCTTCCTGTTAGGGAACGCTAGCCAGGCAATCAGCCGCATCGCCCTTCCTCTCCGGCTCCGTCCTCTCTGCGAGCGCTGCACATCTCTGTACCTTAGGCTTTTACAGCTCCTCTGCGCTTACTTCTGGCCTTCTCCTTGCTTCTCGTTGTAGAATTTCCAGTCAGTCGACTTTCCTGTAGTTCTGGGTAATGTCCATTTTATATTTTAGTTGTATTTTATTGAAATTGTTGTGTGCGGCTGCGGTTAGGTGTCTACCTGTTCAGCCATCTTGGATTCTCCCCTCAGATATTTCTCTACTTCTATATATTTTAAATATTTTTTCCCTCTGGCTCTATTTTTGCTCATCAGTTAATGTTGTTCACTATATTCCACAAATGAGTGAGATCATGCGATATTTATCTTTCTCTGACTGGCTTATTTCACTTAGCATAATGCTCTCCAGTTCCATCCATGCTGTTGTAAAGGGTAAGAGTTCCTTCTTTTTTATATCAGTGTAGTATTTCATGGTGTACATGTACCACAGTTTTCTAATCCACTCTTCTGCTGTTGGACACTTAGGCTGTTGCCAAATCTTAGCTATTGTAAATTGTGCTGCTATGAACACAGGGGTGCCTATATCCTTTCTGAGTGGTGTTTCTGATTTCTTGGGGTATATTCCTAGAAATGGGATTACTGGGTCGAATGAGAGTTCATGCTTAATTTTTCGAGGAAACTCCATACTGTTCTCCACAGTGGCTGCACAAGTCTGCACTTCCACCAGCGGTGCAGTGCACAAGGGTTCCTTTTTCTCCACATCCTCACCAGCACCTGTCGTTTGTCCATTGGTTTTTAGAAAGAGTGGAAGGGAGGGAGGGAAGGAAAGGGAGAAGAAGAGAGGCAGAGAGAAACAGAAAGACATGATGTGAGAGAGACACATTTATTTTTTCCTGCACATGCTCAGATAAGGGCAGGAAACAAACTTACAGACAAGGTACCATGCCTGGGGGCATGACCAGCCTGCAAACCATCATAGGCCCCTCACCCAGGCCACCCCATGCCCCAAAGGAACCCCCACCCTGATCTGGGACACCCTTTAGGGTAAATCAGTTGGCCTCCACCCATGCACCAGGCTATCTTATCTAATTCTATATAATAAAATAGTAATATGCAAATCACTCCAACACAAGATGGCTGCCCCCATGTGGTAAAAGATGACTGCCCTATGTGGACACAAGATGGTTACCACAAGATGGCCAGCAGGGAGGGCAGATGGGATGGAGCAGGTCTGCAAGGGAGGGCAGTTGTGGGCAATCAGGCCAGTAAGGGAGAGCAGTTGGGGAGGACCAGGCCTGCAGGGGAGGGTAGTTAGTGGTGACCAGGCCGGCAGAGGAGGTAAGTAGGGGGTGACCAGGATTTCAGGGAGGGAAGTTGGGGGGAGACCCAGGCCTACAGAGGAGGGAAGTTGAGGGGGACCAGGCATGCAGGGGAGCACAGTCAGGGGTGACCAGGCTTGCAAGGGAGGGCAGTTAAGGGCAAATAGGCTGGCAGGGGAGCAGTTAAGCATCAATTAAGCTGGCAGGGGAGTGGTTAATTAGGGATGATCAGGCTAGCAGGTAGAAGCAGTTAGGGGCAATCAGGAAGGCAGGCAGGTGAGCAGTTGGGAGCCAGCAGTCCTAGATTGTGAGAGGGATGTCCGACTGCCCATTTAGGCCCCAGTTGGACATCTCTCGAGGAGTCCCAGATTGGAGAGGGTGCAGACTGGGCTGAGGGACACCCTCCCTTCCAAATGCACGGATTTTGTGCACCTGACCTCTAGTGTGTCATAAGGCAAGTGCTTCCTTGTTGATTTTGTCTGTGCTTATCCATTAATATAAATGGGGTATTTAATTATTATATTACTGTCAATCTCTCCCTTTGTGTCTGTGAATATTTGCTGTGTGTATTTAGGTAAGTCTATCATGGGTGCATAGATGCTTTATATCCTCTTGTTGGATTGATCTTTATCATTATGTCATACTCTTGTGTTTTGTTAGAGTCTTTGTTTTAAAGTCTATTTTATCTAAGTCTTGCTGCCCCAGCTTTCTGTTGGATGCAATATCTTTTTCTGTCCATTCACTTTCAGTCTGTATCTTTAGATCTGAACTGAGCCTCTTGTAGGCAGCACACGTGTGGATCTTGTTTCTTTTAACCCATTTGTCAGAAGGAATGCTCTTGCTCCAGAGGCTCTAGGGGAGAATTTGTTCCTTGACTCTTCCAACTGTGGTGGGTGCCAGTGTTTCTTGACTTGTGGATGCATCACTCCAGTCTCTGCCTCTATAGTCTCCTGCCATCAAATCTCCCTCTGTCTCTGTCTTAACAGTACACATGTGATTGCATTTAGGCTCCTATAATCCAGAATTATCTTTCCATGTCAAGGAAAGATAATTAAAAAGACAAAAATATAAAAGAACAAACGAAGGTTTGCAAGTGGATAGTCATGGGGAATGTATAATTAAAAAAGGACAGTACAAGAGAGTCTCAGGGGGTAATTAAACTCTTCTGAGTCATGATTGTGTGATAGCTACATGATCCATTAAAATTCATAACTACAGTTATAACTGTACAGAAAAATAGTCAATTTTATTTGACTTTTAAAAATAAAAATGTCAAAATCCTTAATTGTATCTTCAAAGGTTTTTTGTTGTTGTTTTCATGCCTGCAAATATTTGTGTGTGTGTGTGTGTGTGTGTGTGTGAGTGTGTGTGTGTGTTTTCCATATAAAGCAATATTCACAGATTCCAGGGATTAGGACCTGATTTTTTTTAAGCCATATTTTTGCTATCATAGTTGACATGGTTGGTGATTCTCTTTTCTAAGTTGAGAAAAGAACATACTTATTTATCAGAGTACAGTCATGAAAATAAAAACCACATCAATTATTTTTTTCTCAGTGTTTAACATTTCAAATCTTCTTTCTTTCTTTCTTTCTTTCTTTCTTTCTTTCTTTCTTTCTTTCTTTCGTTAATCCTCACCTGAGGATATTTTCCCATTGTTTTTTTAAAGAGAATAGAAGGAAGAGGGAGAGACAAAAAGAAACATTGATGTGAGAGAGACACATGGATTGGTTGCTTCCTGCATGCACCCAACCAGGGCTTGGGAAATCTGCAACCGAAGTATATTCCCTTGACTGGAATTGAACCTGGGGCACTTCAGTCCATGTGCCAATGCTCTATCCACTGAGCCAAACCAGCTAGAGCCATCAATCTTCCGTTTTTTCTTTTTTTTTCTTTTATTGTCTAAAGTTTCACATATGTCTCTTTTCCCCCAGTTGACACCTCCATCCCCAGCCATTCCCATCCAGGGCAAGCACCCTCCGCCCCAGTGTCTGTGTCCATTGGTTATGCTAATATGCATGCATACAAATCCTTTGGTTGCTCTCTAACCCTTTCCCCTCAATCTTTAATATAAAACTATACCATGTTTATTTTCAGTATAATTGTTACCATTATTAATGCAAAAGGAAGTTTGGGTTGGGTGAGCTCTCAGCCAATACACAGAGAGTTTGATGTGACCCACAGCAACGTGCAGCACCAGAAACCCTGTTTCCTGTTCTGGGGCAGCAGCAGCTCATAGCTCAGCATTTCTCCTCTCCATCTGTCAGTCACCTAATCTTGCAGAGCCCTGAAACGGAAGCTTAGTGGAAGAACTTGAACATGTTGCTCTCCGGCCTTATGAGAGTGGTCATAACTTTGATGTGGCTAGGTAAGGATGCCCCAGTGGGAATGGGTCTTCTCTGTGACCTAGCAACAGGGGTTTTTTATGAGTACTAGGGAAGGAAAGCTGGCCAAGTGTAAAAAAAAATCCTAATGTCCCACACCACTTATCCCATAACCTTCTGTTTGCATTTTTTTTCTTTCAGGATTCAGTATTGCCCAGAAGGTAACTCAAGGCCAACAAGCAATACTGGTGCAGGAGAAGGAGGCTGTGAGCCTGGATTGCACATATGAAACCAGCGATACAAGTTATAGTCTATTCTGGTACAAGCAGCTCAGCAGTGGGGCAATGATTTTCCTTATTCGTCAGGACTCTTACAGCCAGCAAAATGCCACAGGAGGCCGCTACTCACTGAATTTTCAGAAAGCAAAGAGTTCTGCCAACCTTGTCATCTCAGCTTCACAGCTGGAGGACTCAGCAGTGTATTTCTGTGCCCTGAGTGATCCCACAGTGAGAGGCGTGTTAGAAGGAGGTGTACCAAAACCCCAGGGCTCTGCTTCAAGGTGGGGAATTGTAATGACAGACAGGAAGTGGTCAGGGCTGTGGCAGCACAGGTGTAGGTAGGGTTAGAGGGAAAACACTCTATGAAATTATCTCTCTGAGTTCATAGACTATGTATAGAGTTATCATTAATTTAAAAATATCCATATTCTTAAAATTTGGGGTTGAAAATATTTATAAAGACAAAGAACAGCCTCAATTAATAGCTTGCCATTTTGTGATAGATTGAGCTAGAAGAATTGACTAAGGAAATTCAGAAACATCTGACTTAGAAGTCAATAAAGTATGTGTGAAAAGTTCTATTTTCAGATCAATTTATTCAGTAAGTATTTGCTGGGTATATATAATACAGGGGAGGAAAAATTCCCCTCTATCCTCTTTGGATCACTGCCAGGCCTAAGAATTAAACTGACACATAGCCCGGCCAATGTGGCTCAGGGGTTGAGTGTTGACCTATGAACCAGGAGGTTACATTTTGATTCCTGGTCAGGACACATGTTCACGTTGTGGGCTCGATCCGGGGTGGGGGGACATGCAGCAGGCAGCCAATTAATAATTCTCTCTCATCATTGATGTTTCTATCCTTTTCCCTTCCTCTCTGAAATCAATAAACATATTTTTAAAAACTGACATAAAATATATACACATTTTATTAAAATTTTTTATTTGTACATGGAAGCCCTTACAAGAAAATGAAGATATGAAGACATGACCAGGGCAGGAAGCTTTAAAACCTTTTAGATAAGAAACAATAAATTCATGTAAAATTGACAAGATCAATGTGTATGAGCTAGCGGAAGTCCAAACTAAGTAGTCCTATCTTCCTTAACTAGGAAGATGAAAGTTAGTTTAAGAAAGTTTGTAGATTCTTCTGGTGTATCTCTTGGTTGTTGTGTCTCTCTCCAATAAAAGATTTTATTTCCTGTGATTATGCTGAAAAGATCTTTTTTTGTTTGTTTTCTGTTTCTTTTCTTTTCTTTTCTTTTTTAATGCTACCATGCAACAAAACTTTTATTAACATTTGAACAGATTCAGTTATTACTCAACTGGTAATTTCCAAACTTAAATTGGGGCAAGTGGCTAGAATGCAGAGCAGTGCCATCATTGGGCACTATGAATGCAAAAGTGAAGAATTAACAGCCACCCTTCAGCTGGAGAACCAGGTTCAGGGTGGAATCTTTATGGATGTTTAAGTCAGAAAGAGTGTGGCCATCTTCCAGCTGCTTGCCTGCAAAGATGAGCCTCTGCTGGTCGGGAGGGATGCCTTCCTTGTCTTGGATCTTGGCCTTCGCATCTCCAGAGTGATGGCCTTGCCTGTCAGGGTCTTCACAAAGATTTGCATTTTGACCTGTTAGCGAGTGTGAAAATACCGCAAGGCCAATCCTGTTGAGTCTCCTCAACAACAGAGCCCCTACAATGCCCGGCACTTCTCTGTTTCTTTTTTATGTCTCTCTCTCTCTTTTTTTTAAATGTTTCAATTAAAGTTGATAACCAATATCATTTTATATTAGTTTAGGTATACAGCATAGTGGTTAGATAATCATATTATTTGTAAAGTGATTCCCCTGATATTTCAAGTATCCACCTGACACCAGTTATTGCAACATTACTGACTATATTACCTATGCTTTACTTTATATCCCTATGACTATTTTATATCTACCAATTTGTTATTATTATTATTTTTTGTAAGCCTTATTTATTTATTTATTTTTTTAGGGAGAGTGAAAGAGAGAGAGAGAGAGAGAGAGAGAGGTGAGAGAAACACATTGATTGGTTACCTCCTGCACATGCCCCAGTGGGGACCAGGAATCAAACCCACTACCCTTGATTAGGGCTGATGCTCTAATCACTTGGCAATGCTAGCTAGGGCATATCTACCAATTTGTATTTCTTAATACCTTCACCTTTTCCCCTCAGCTCTCTAATGCCCCTACTATCTGGCAATCCTCAGTTAGTTCTGTGTATCTACAAGTCTGTTTTTGTTTTGTTCATTTATTTTGTTCTTTAGATTCCACATATAAATGAAATCATATGGAATTTGTCTTTTTCTCTCTGACTTATTGCATTTAACACAATGCACTCTAGGTTCATCCATATTGTTGCAAATGGTAAAGTTTTTGCTATTTTTATAGTTGAGTAATATTCTGTTGTAGATATGTACAACCTCTTTTTTTATCCACTCATCTATTGATGGGCACTTAGGTTGCATCTATTATTTTTGTTGTAGTAAATAATGCTGCAATGAACATATGGGTGCAATCTATAGATTCAATACAATCCTTATCAAAATAGCAATGGCATTTAAAAAAAAACTAGAACAAAATGCCCTAAATTTTATAAGAAAACACTAAAGAACTCCAATAGCCACAGCAATCTGGAGAAAGAAGAACAATGTTTGTGGTATCATGTTACTTGATATCAAACTATACTACAAGACTATAGTAATCAAAACAGCATGGTACTGCCCAACCGGTGTTGCTCAGTGGTTGAGCATTGACCTATGAACCAGGTTGGTTCTCACTCAGTCAGGGCACATGCCTGGATTTTGGGCTCAATCTCCAGTGTGGGGCTTGCAGGAGACAGCTGATGAATGATTCTCTATCATCATTGGTGTTTCTATATCTCTCTCCCTCTCCCTTCCTCTTTGAAATCAATAAAAAAGTATTTAAATTAGTGTTTTGGATTTCTTTGAATAAATACCCCAAAAATGGAATTGTTGGGTCATGAGGTAGTTCCATTTTTAATTTTTTGAGGAACCTCCTTACTGTTTTCCATAGTGGGCTGTACCAATTTGCTGTCCCATTTACAAAGCATGAGGGTTCCCTTTTCTCTATATCCTTGCTAATACTTGTTGAGGATTTATTGATGATAGTTATTCTGACAGTGTGAGGTGATCTCATTGTGATTTTATTTTGCATTTCTGATGGTTAATGATTTTGAGCATCTTTTCAAATGTCTATTTGCCAACTGTATATCTCTTTGGAGAAATGTCTGTTAGGTCCTTTGCCCATTTTTAAATTGGATTGTTTGAGGTTTTTTGGTGTTGAATTATATGAATGTTCTATAAATTTTGAATATTAACCCTTTATCAGATGTATCACTGGTGATTATCTTCTCCTGATCATTTGGCTATATTTTCATGTGATTGATGGTTTCCTTTGCTGTGCAAAAACTTTTTAGTTTGATGTAGTCCGGTTTTAATTTGTTGTTTCCTTTCTTCAAGGTGACATATCTGAAAAAATATTACTAAGGGCAATGTCAGAAGAGCTTACAGTCTATGTTTTTTCCTAGGAATATTATGGCTTTGGGTCTTACATATAAGTCTGAGCTTATTCTTGTATTAATATATAGTGTAAGAAGGTCATCTAGTTTTATTTTTTTGCATGTATATGTTCAATTTTCCCAGCATCATTTATTGAATAAACTGTCTTTATCCCATTGTATATTTTTGTCTCTTTTGTCACAGATTAATTGACAATTTAGGCATGGGTTTATTTTGGGGCTCCCTATTCTGTTCCATTGATTTATGTCTATTTTTATGTCAGTACCATGCTTTTTAAAAAAACAAACCTTTATTTTAAAATATATTTCTATTAATTTTAGAGAGGAAGGGAGAGGGAGAGAGATATAGAAACATCAATGATAATAGAGAATCATTGGTCAGCTGCTTCCTGCAAGCCCCACACTGGGGATTGAGCCCAAAATCCAGGCATGTGCCCTGACTGAGAACCAACCTGGTTCATAGGTTGACACTCAACCACTGAGCAACACTGGCTGGGCAGTACCACGCTGTTTTGATTACTATAGTCTTGTAGTATAGTTTGATATCAAGTAGCATGATATCAAACATTGTTCTTCTTTCTCCAGATTGCTGTGGCTATTGGAGTTCTTTAGTGGTTTCTTATAAAATTTAGGGCATTTTGTTCTAGTTTTTTTTTTAAATGCCATTGCTATTTTGATAAGGATTGCATTGAATCTATAGATTGCTTAGGGTAGTATGGATATTTTAACAATGTTAATTCTTTCTATCAATGAGAATCCTATATTCTTTCATTTATGATATAAATAAATGATATAAATGATATAAATTTTTAATTTCTTACACTTTTTTTTTGAGTATAGATCCTTTACCTCCTTGGTTAAATTTATTACTAGGTATTTTGTTTATTTTTTATGCAATTTTATATGGAATTGTTTTCTTAATTTCTCTGATAGCTTATGTTAGGTGTATCAGAATGCAACCAATTTCTGCATATTAATTGTATATCCTGCTACTTTACTGAACTAATTTACAGTTCTAATAGATTTTTAATGGAATCTTTAGGGTTCTCTCTCTATATGCAGTATCATGTCATCTGCAAATAATGATAGTTTTATTTACTTCTTTCCAATTTGATGCCTGCAATTTATTCTTCTCATCTGATGACTTTGGGTAGGACTTCTAATATTATGTTGAATAAGAGTGGTGAAAGTGGACATCCCTGTCATGTTCTTGATCTTAAGGGAAACACTTAAGCTTTCCCTTGTTGAGTGTGATGTTACCTGTATGTTTGTCATATATGGCCTTTATTATTTTGAAGTATTTTTTCTCTGTTTCCACTTTGCTGAGAATCTTTATCATAAATGGGTGCTGGATTTTGTTAAATATTTTTGTTCTGCATCCATTGATATCCTATATAATAAAAGGGTAATACGCAAGTAGACTGAATAGCAGAATGACTGAAAGCCTCGGAAGCCAATGAGAAGGGAAGCAGCAAATAATCTGAAGCCACAGCCCATAAACAACAAAATACCATCCATTTGGAGAAAGCCTTAGTCCACGAGTCAGATTCTGCAATGTACTACTGTGCATTGAGTGTCACAGTGACAGACATTGCAGGAGGAGTTGAGCACAAACTCTGAGCAGTAATGAGGAGGCTGGTTATTGAGGGTCTATGACTGTTTTATCCACTACGGTGAATTTTATTATTTAACATCAAATACACAGTACATTTAATTCAAATTTCTGACCTTTTAAGCAAATTAATAGAGTAGTTAGGATAACTGGATCTTTACGCACA